TAGTGATGGTAACAAGATAACAGTAGTGATGGAAACAAGGTAACAGGGATGGGAACAAGGTAACAGTAGGGATGGGAACAAGTTAACAGTAATGATGGAAACAAGATAACAGTAATGATGGAAACAAGATAACGATAGTGATTGGAACAAGATAACAGTAGTGGAGCGATGGGAACAATATAACAGTGATGGGAACAAGAAAACAGTAGTAGTGGGAAAAAGATAGCAGTGGTGGGAACAAGATAACAGTAGTGATAGAACAATAAAACAGCGGGGGGAACAAGATACACGTGAGGGGAACAAGATAACAGTATGGAGCGATGGGAATAAGATGACAGCAGTGAGGGGAAACAAGATAACACCCATGATTGGGAACAAGATAACGGTAGCGATGGGGAGAAGTAACAGTAGTGTTTGGAACAAGTAACAGTAGGGGGAACAAGATAACAGTAATGATGGGAACAAGATAACAGTAGTGGGGGGGAACAAGATAACAGTAGTGGTGGGAAAAAGATAGCAGTGGTGGGAACAAGATAACAGTAGTGATAGAACAATATAACAGCGGTGGGAACAAGATAACAGTGATGGGAACAAGAATAACAGTAGTGGTGGAAAAAGGATAGCAGTGGTAAGAACAAGATAACAGTAGTGATAGAACAATATAACAGCGGTGTGAACAAGATAACAGTGATGGGAACAAGATAACAGTAGTGGAGCGATGGGAATAAGATGACAGCAGTGATGGGAACAAGATAACAGCAGTGATGGGAACAAGATAACGGTAGCGATGGGAAGAAGGTAACAGTAGTGATGGAACAAGATAACAGTAGTGGTGGGAACAAGATAACAGTAATGATGGGAACAAGATAACAGTAGTGGTGGGAACAAGATAACAGCAGTGATGGGAACAAGACAACAGTAGTTATTGGAACAAGATAACAGTAGTGATGGGAACAAGATAACAGTAATGATGGGAACAAGATAACAGTAGTGATGGGAACAAGATAATAGTGATGGGAACAAGATAACAGTAGTGGTGGGAACAAGATAACAGTGTTGGTGGGAACAAGATAACAGTAGTGATGGAAACAAGATAACATAGTGGTGGGAACAAGATAACAGTAGTGATGGGAACAAGATGACAGCAGTTATGGGGACAAGATAACAGTGGTGGTGGGAACAAGATAACAGTGGTGGTGGGAACAAGATAACAGCAGTGATGGGAACAAGAATAGCAGTGATGGGAGCAAGATAACAGTAGGTTGGAAAAAGATAACAGTGATAGGAACAAGATAACAAAGTGGTGGGAACCAGATAACAGTAATGGGAACAAGATAACAGTAGTGGTGAGAACAAGATAACAGTAGTGAGGGAAACAAGATAATAGTAGTGATGGGAACAAGATAACAGTAGGGTTGGGAACAAGATAACAGTAGTAATGGGAACAGGATAACAGTAGTGATGGGAACAAGATAACAGTAGTGGTGGGAACAAGATAACAGTAGTGATGGGAACAAGATAACAGTAGTGATGGGAACAAGATAACAGTAGTGATGGGAACAAGATAACACAGTGGTGGGAACAAGATAACATTAATAAATGGAACAAGATAACAGTAGTGATGGGAACAAGATAACAGCAGTGATGGGAACAAGATAGCAGTGATGGGAGCAAGATAACAGTAGGGATGGGAACAAGATAACAGTAATGATGGAACAAGATAACAGTAGTGGTGGGAACCAGATAACAATAATGGGAACAAGATAACAGTAGTGGTGAGAACAAGATAACAGTAGTGATGGGAACAAGATAACAGTAGTGATGGGAACAAGATAACAGTAGTGATGGGAACAAGATAACAGAGTTGGGAACAAGATAACAGTAGGGTTGGGAACAGAATTTAAACAGTAGTGATGGGAACAAAGATAACAGTAGTGAGGGGAACAAGATAACAGTAGTGATGGGAACAAGATAACAGTAGTTATGGGAACACGATAACAGCAGTGATGGGAACAAGATAGCAGTGATGGGAGCAAGATAACAGTAGGGATGGAACAAGATAACAGTAATGATGGAACAAGATAACATAGTGGGGGGAACCAGATAACAATAATGGGAACAAGATAACAGTAGTGGTGAGAACAAGATAACAGTAGTGATGGGAACAAGATAACAGCAGTGATGGGAACAAGATAACAGAGTTGGGAACAAGATAACAGTAGGTTGGGAACAGAATAACAATAGTAAATGGGAACAAGATAACAGTAGTGATGGGAACAAGATAACAGTAGTTATGGGAACACGATAACAGTAGTGATGGGAACAAGATAACAGTAGTTGTGGGAACAGGATAAATGTATGATGGGAACAAATAACATAGTGTTTGGGAACAAGATAATAATAATGGGAACAAGATAACAGTAGTGGTGGGAAGCAAAAAACAGTATTTGAGGGAAAACAAAATAGCAGTGGGATGGGAACAAGATAATAGTAAGGGGTGGGAACAAGTTTACAGAAGTTGTGGGAACAAGGTAATAGCAGTAATGGGAAAACAAAAATAACAGTAGTGATGGGAAGATAACAGTAGTAATGGGAACAAATATAGCAGTATGGTGGGAACAATTTAACAGTAGTAATGGGAAGATAACAGTAGTGATGGGAACAAGATAACAGCAGTGATGGGAACAAGATAAAAGTAGTGGTGGGAACAAGAGAACAGTAGTGATGGGAACAATATAACAGTAGAAAATGGAAGATAGCAGTAGTAATGGGAACAAGATAGCAGTAGTGGTGTTAACAAGATCACAGTAGTAATGTGAACAAGATAGCAGTTGTGGTGGGAACAAGATAACAGTAGTGATGGGAACAAGATAACAGTAGTGATGGGAACAAAAATAACAGTATTGATGGGAACAAGATAACAGTAGTAATGAGAACGAGATAACAGTAGGGTTGGGAACAAGATAACTGTAGGGTAGTGAACAGGATAGCAGTAGTGATGGGAACAAGATAACAGTAGTGGAGGGAACAAGATAACAGTAGTGATGGGAACAAGATAACAGTAGTTGTGGGAACAGGATAACAATAGTGATGGGAACAAGATAACAGTAGTGAAAAGAACAAGATAACAGTAGTAACGGGAACAAGATAACAGTAGTGATGGGAGCAAAATAACAGTAGTGATGGGAACAAGATAGTAGTGATGGGAACAAGATAATAGTAATGGTGGGAACAAGATTACAGAAGTTGTGGGAACAAGGTAATAGCAGTAATAGGAACAAGATAACAGTAGTGATGGGAAGATAACAGTAGTAATGGGAACAATATAGCAGTAGTGGTGGGACAAGATAATAGTAGTAATGGGAACAAGTTAACAGTAGTAATGGGAAGATAACAGTAGTGATGGGAACAAGTTAACAGTAGTGATGGGAACAAGATAACAGTAGTGATGGGAACAATATAACAGTAATGGGAAGATAACAGTAGTAATGGGAACAAGATAGCAGTAGTGGTGTTAACAAGATCACAGTAGTAATGGGAACAAGATAGCAGTAGTGGTGGGAACAATATAACAGTTGTAATAGGAGCAAGATAGAAGTGGTGGGAACAAGATAACAGTAGTAATGGGAACAAGATAACAGTAGTGGTGGGAGCAACATAACAGTAATGATGGGAGCAATATAACAGAAGTGATGGGAACAAGATAACAGTAGTGATGGGAACAATATAACAGTGCTGATGGGAACAAGATAACAGTAGTGATGGGAAAAAGATAAGAGCAGTGATGGGAACAAGATAACAGTAGTGGTGGGAACAAGATAACAGTGGTGGGAACAAGATAACAGTAGTGATGGGAACAAGATAACAGTAGTGAGGGAACAAGATAACAGTATTTGATGGAACAAGATAACAGTAGTGATGGGAACAAGATAACAGTAGTGATGGGAACAAGATAACAGTAGTGATGGGATCAAGATAACAGTAGTGATGGGAACAAGATAACAGTAGTGATGGGAACAAGAGGGTTTAGTGAGGGGAACAAGATAACAGTAGTGATGGGAACAAGAAAAACAGTAGTGATGGATCAAGATAACAGTAGTGAGGGATCAAGATAAAGTAGTGATGGGAACAAGAAACAGTAGTGGTGGGATCAAGATACAGTAGTGATGGGATAAAGATAACAGTAGTGATGGGAACAAGATAACATTTAGTGTTGGGAACAAGATAACAGTAGTGATGGGAACAAGATAACAGTAGTGATGGGAACAAGATAACATAGGGGTGGGAACAAAAATAACAGTAGTGATGGGAACAAGAAACAGTAGTGAGGGGATCAAGATAACAGTAGTGAGGGGAACAAGATAACAGGGTTGGGAACAAATAACAGTATTTGATGGGAACAAGATAACAGTATGATGGAACAAGATAACAGTAGTGATGGGATCAATATAAACAGTATTGATGGGAACAAGATAACAGTAGTGGTGGGAACAAGATAACAGTAGTGATGGGATCAATATAACAGTAGTGATGGGAACAAGATAACAGTAGTGATGGGATCAAGATAACAGTAGTGGTGGGAACAAGATAACAGTAATGATGGAAACAAGGAACATTAGAAGGAGCAAGAGTGGTAGAGTAAGAACCTCTCAATATATATGTAAATATACACATATATTCACAGCATATAACATATTCACTAAAATCACAGTACACAAAATTAAGGGAAAAGTTATATTAAAAATAAAATCACAATAGATTACGAACATGACTTTTAGAAAAAGCCTTCTGATTTAATGCATTAAAAAAAATTTTAGAAGAGAGAGTGTTAGAGGAAAAGATAACTCTCATATATGATTATGTATTTAAGATACAAATATGTATGCTTGATCTTTGTATGTCTACAGTACAAACATCACAGAGTTGTGCACATTACGTATATTAGTTGCATAAAATCATTGCATAAGAAACTGCATTATGTGTGTATAGATAGGACTCACCTTCGAAGACTTGGCTCGTTGATATATGGTGGTGGGTAATAGTAGTTGGTGAGACGGACGAAGCCGTTATCCTCGTAGTATTTGAGGACCTTCTCCAAGTTAGGATGAACGTCAGTAACGTAGAGGAACACCTTACCGAAGCCCTCCGCCCTCAGGATTTCCAGCCACTCCACTATTCTCATGGAGAAGTCTTCGTGGTAGAAGTAGAGAGCTGGACCACACACAGCTGGCACCCACCCTTTCACTGCCCTGTCAGGAATACACCTGGTCACTGACAACTGGTACTTACCCCTTCACTGTCTCGTGAGGGATACACGTTGTCATACAATGCTGCCTCTCACCGCTTCATTATCTTGAGTGAACAGCGGTGACCTGTACTTAACTCAGTGGTGACCTGTACTTAACTCTGTGAAGAAGTGTCTTGTGTGCTCCCGTGGACTGAACCAAGATGCCCTCCATCGAGCAACTTTACCAGCAACTTAAGGAAGAACTGAGGGTAGCGAAGATGGAGATACGGCGATTGACCGAGGAAAACAAGAGGATTCGTAGTAGTCCTCCTGTTTCGAGTCCTCAGGTCAAGAAGGGATCGTGGTCAGTGGCTGGACAGCAGGGGACGACGAAGTTGACGATCAAGAAGACGAATGGAAAGCCAGAAACGATGAAGAAGAAAGAGACTGCTGTGGAAACTCCTGTGGAAACCTCCAACGCATTCTCGGTGCTACCCGACGAATGTGAGTGGGACTACTGGGATCGTCAGGGACGAACGACAACAAGAAAGGAAAAAGAATATTGTTGTTGTTGGGGATAGCCAGGTTAGATACATGGATAGGGCATTCTGCTTGAAGGACAGGTGTAGGAGACAGAGGGTTTGCCGGCTTGACAGCATCATGAACGGTAATGGGATCAATCCTATTTGCCTCAGTGCTGGAGGCAATGATATAGGCAGCGAAAGAAGGGGAGGATTTAGTTAAAAAGTTCAGGACAGCTATAGACATAATTAGGAAGAAGGGGGGGGGCGCCCTGTTATATGTGGCATTTTGCCAAGAAAAGGTGTTGGTAATGAATGGTTGTCCAGAGCAATTGGTATTAATTGTTGGCTGGATAAACACTGTAAGGATAATGCAGTACCATTCATTGACAACTGGGACAACTTCTAGGGCCAAAAATGACATGAAAGCCAGGGAGGGGGTTCACTTATCCAGGGCAGGTGTGGGTTTTCTTGCTAACTCAGCTGAGGGGGTTGTTAGGACTTTAAACTAGGATTAGTTAGAGGTATGGGTTTAGAAATGTAAATAATGAGTATGGATATATTGACTTATGCTCTGATATTAAGAATCTTAATAGTAACTGTCATGGAGTAACTCTGGGTTAATGATAATTTCAGAAATTGGTAAAAACAAAGATGAATAGGAAAAATGTGCAGAAGAAAAACATATGATGGTTTTTTATGCTAACAGTCGAAGTGCAAGAAATAAAATTAATGAACTACGTTTGGTAGCATGTGCTGGGAACTTTGATATCATTGCATTAACTGAAACGTGGGGTAGATTTAAAGAGTGGGGAAATATGACTGCTGAGTGTAATATTCAGGGATTTAAGTTGTTCAATGTGGATAGTTTGTAATGGGAAGGGGGGAGGAGTTGCATTGTATGTTCGAGAAAAATATTAATTGTTGCTTTAAAAACAGGTATAAAATAGATGGAGCAGTAACAGAGTCTGTTTGGGTAGAGTTCGTGGAGGTCAAGAGAAACTAATTCTAGGTGTAATATACCGACCTCCAGGCTTGGATCACGATAGAGGGAGACTTCTTTGGGACGAAATTTTTTAGGGCTTCTGGACACGTAACCCTAATCATAGTAGGGGACTTTAACTTTAGTCAAATTGACTGGAATTCTTTGACAGGTAATCTAGAGTCCAGTGACTTTATGGAAACAGTTCAGGACTGTTTTATGAAACAGAGCGTAACTGAGCCTACCCGGGGTAATAATTTGCTAGACCTAGTCTTGTCAAATAAGGAAACACTCGTGAATAATCTGGAGATCACTGAAGAGCTTGGCGCAAGTGATCACAAATCCATCACTTTTAGCATTAATTGGGAATGCAAGAATAATGATTTAAAACAGTAAAAATCCCTGATTTTCGTTCCTGCCGATTTTTAATGGACTTAGGGAACATTTGTCTAAACTTCATTGGGGTTATCTAGCTAATGATTTTATTGACGATAATCATACTTATGAATATGAAAGGGGTCTGCTTTTATGATTGTTTTCTTAATAATGTACACAGTGCCCAGGGTATATACATTCCCCAGAGAGAAATTAGGTCTAATAATAACGATCCCAAATGGGTTAACAGGAGGCTAAAGCATCTAATAGTGGAGAAAAGGGAATTTATAGGGCATCAGAAGAGGAGAGGTAAAAACCCTTTCTGACCAATATGTTCAGCTTTAAAAGAGAAAAAAAGGCGATTAGAAAGGCTAAAAAGTGACTATGAAATTGAGTTTTCTAATGAACAAAAAGACTAATCCAAAGGGGTTCTTTCAAATGTATAGGACGAAGGTGAAGGAAAAAGTAGGGGCCTCTGAAAATTGGGAATGGACAGCGACGCATAATGAACTGGAAATGTGTTCCTTATTTAATGGGCTATTTTTTGTCAGTTTTACACAGGAAGATGTAAATGAGATTTCCAGTAATTAACAATTATTTAGTTCCTGATGAATTTAAGTTTAACTAATATTACTGTCACGAGGGACATGGTTATTAAACAGATAGACAAACTGAAGCCAAAATAAGTCCCCGGGACCCGATGAGATGTTTCCAGGGTACTTAAGGAATGCAAGATGGGCTTTTGTCACCATTAACGAGTGTATTCAATGCGTCCATCCTTACCGGGGTTGTGCCAGAGTTGTGGAAGATGGCTAATGTGGTTCCTATATTCAATCAGGGGATAAGTCCACTCCTTCAAATTACCGTCCAATAAGCCTGACATCTATAGTGGGTAAGTTATTAGAATCAATTATAGTGACATTATCAGAAGTCACCTTGAAGAGCATAAAATTGATAAAAGATCTCAGCATGGATTCACGAGAGGTCGTTCCTGCCTGACAAATTACTGACGTTCTTCAATAGAACATTTGAGGCAGTTGACAGTGATAAGGAATATGATATTGTTTATTTGGATTTTAGTAAAGCCTTCGATAGAGTACCTCACAAGAGACTCTTAAGAAAAGTGGCAGCTCATGGCATAGGAGGTTAAGTTCTAGCATGGATTGAGGCATGGCTTACCAATAGAAAGCAGAGAGTTACCATTAATGGAGTGAAATCTGAATGGGGATTAGTCACTAGTGGCGTTCCACAAGGATCAGTTTTAGGTCCTTTCTTGTTCATAATTTACATTAATGACCTTGTAATAAAGTTGGTAGAATTACCGACACTATGTAAAGTAAAAGGACACAAGTGCAACTAATGTGACATTTTATTGTGGCAACGTTTCGCTCTCCAGGAGCTTTATCAAGCCATTACAAACAATACATGGACACAGGGGGTATTTTAAAGGCTCAGGTGAGGTGCAGTGCAGGAGGTACCATTTAGATGTTTTTCTAGTGGTAGTAGTAGTATAGTGACAAAAGTAGTAGTTTAAAAAAT